AGATGATGGATGTATTTGGGATGGTTTGGATAGAGCTGATCCTGCTTCAGGCAGGGGGCTGAACTAGATGCGACTTCTGGAGGTCTATTCCACCCCACCTTCTTTATGATTTTCTGTGATATCTCATGGCACATCATTCATGCCCCTTCAAAGGAGGAGCTTTTTCTCTGGAAGGCTTTAGGCCGTAGATAGGTTGAATTTATTAGTCCGACAGCACTCTCTGGCTGAGCATGGTGAACCCTCCAAACCAGATGTCACTGATCAGAGCTAACTTAGATGGAGGCCCTCTTCTTGGGGTCATATGGACGACACTAGCAGGTTGTCCCTCTCCCCGCTAGTGTCCATAACACGGTTTTGGAAGTGAGTGGGGATCTAATGGCAACATTAGATGGAGAGAATGTCTGGGTATGGGAAAGCTGGGGTTCAAACTCCATCCAGGAGCTAGCTCCCCAGCAGGGGGCTCTAGACTGAGCACTTCTGATCTATCACCTGGCCTCTCCATCCACATGTATAGAACCTGTGCTCTCCCAGTGAGAGTGCCCCACACCTAGAGCCTCTTGAGGTCTACGTGCTTGAGATGTGGAAGGCCTCTGGGAATCCCTGGCCTTGGGGCTTTTGTGGCTCCCCCCCATCCCCACCTCCATGGATGCTTCTTGCTCCTGAGGGGGATGTTTTGCCTTCCTCTGAGGCCCTGGGACCTTGGCTGACAGGGTTTCCTCCCACGGACACTTTGCTCCTTGATGGAGCATCTTGCCCTTCCACTTAGGGTCAGACCAGTGCCCAATTTGGAACTAGGAAAAGGCTGTTCTCCCCCAAGCTCTGACTGTCTTGGACTGGTGGGGGTCTTTGCTTCCTCCGTACCACGGGGCGGGGACTTCTCTGTAGACCCTTCTGCTCATCCACCAACCAAGAACTTCCCCATCATCACAGTGGCCAGATGCTAGGACCCTACCACATATTATCTATATTATGCAGTTAACTGAATAAGTGTGCAATATATTTAGACTGGCCACATATGTCAAGTAATGATCACCCCATAAACACATCCATTCAGCTATAAAAAGAGCTAACCAGCTACAAAGTTAGTGCTTGAAAATGTGTAGCAACTATATAGCTGGTTTCTATCCAACTTAAATTTGAACGTGTGGCAGTGCCCTTAGTGCCCACATCACTCCGCTTTTCCCCAGGGTACAAGAGAGGGTGTTTAAGGAGTTCTGACTGTTGCTTCCTGCTGGTGAGGGTTTGGTGTAGTCGTTTGAGGGAAATCCTCAAGACGGGGTGGGGGGAACCGAACCTTCCTCCTTCCAGACCGATCCAGTTGGGCGTCTCCCAAAATCTCACCCTCTTCCCCACCCCCACCCCGTTGTGTTTTCACAGGATCCAAGCGAAACTCCCAGGAGTGGCAAAGAAGAAGCCCGAATAGGCTGGTGGGCAGGGAAGTGGGTCCCAGGTGTTACTAAACCCCGTGTCCTAGTTATAACCGTTGTTACTCGTACCTATGAAGGAACTTGCTGAGTCCGCTTGAGCGGTATCTTTGTTTTTTCCCCCCCTAAGCCTAAAAACAAAGCCCATCCCTATGTTGGATTCTGCACCTGACTAAAGAAGAACTGGTGTTCGATGGTGAGGGGAGGTCTCCACACCTGCTCCCAGCTCCGTGCCCTTCTTCTTGGCTTCTGCATCCTCCCACCCGCATCCCATGCAACAAGTTTTCTTCTCCCTTGCCATCAGCCCATCCTGCTCCCCGGAAGGTGGAGGATCCATGCGGCAAAGGGTGGGAAGTCTAGAAGAGCCGTTCGCTTCTTCCTGACGTCAGTTTGTTCTTAGTTTCAGGTCCATCCCCATCCTCTCCCAGCCCCCAATGCCACGCTGCCACCCTTCAGAAGTCACCACTCTCCTCCATTTTGTTTTATTATTTCTTTGCCATGAAATGAAAATGTCTGTAACTGCTGTAAAACCTTGCCTAGAGGAACCAACGGAACCCCTCCATCCCGTCCCGTCTCTGAGATCAGCACATGAGCTCTCTGCTCTTGTATCCCCCTCTTGTGCAGGGCAGAGTGCCCTGTAGGATGGCCGGCTGGCGGCGGGGGAGACCCATAGAGGTGAGGCTAGGAGAAATGGTACGTCACCGGCCCTGGTAGTTCAGCATAGTTTTAGCGTATACAGAGTCGTAACTTGTGTCCCTCTCTCTTTTTGAAGGTAGCTTTGAGTCGGTCTTAGAGCCATCTACCACAGTCCAAACAGAGTTGGCGCTAACACTGAAGTCCCAGCTCGTTTCCAGAGTGGAGCAGGGGGTGGAAGAGGCAAAGAGGGGTCAGGGAAGGGAAGGGAATGAATGAGCTGCTCAGTGATTGGACCCTGAGCTGGGAAGGTGCCATTTTTATTGTTATTTTTTTGGCCTTCCACAGTGCAGGTGGGTGTGGAGGGAAGCATTGGTCACCAGAGGTCAGAGCAAGATGGATCCCAGCAGAGAGGAGACGTATCCAGGTCTCATTTTGACACACGGCCTGTGAAGTCAGAGCTTAGACATAACCCCATAGCCTGACCAACCGCTGGAGATGCCTTTTTGGTCAACAAGCCAGCGCCCATCCTCCTCCTGCCACAGGAAGTCCACCCCTTTTTTCTCACCCTTCCATCAGCATCTCTCCTCCTCAAGTCTCTTCTGCACTGGACACCCTCGGCCTAGCTCTTCCGCCTGTTTTGTTACTGCTGTTATGTAGATCCTTATGAAGATCTCTGTGCCAGGCGATTTGGGGTTTTTTTGTTGTTGGTTTTTTTTAAAGGAACATATGTAGACAAAACAACAATGGAAACAAAACTACTAATGAAGTGTGTGTGTGTGTGTGTGTGTGTGTGTGTGTGTAAGTGTGTGCGTGCAGCATCAAACTACAGTAGTGGCCAGGGAACGCTTCCCCTGGTTCCTTGTCAAACTACAACCAATATTAATAAAAAGAACACAACAGCTGGGGGTGTTGCTGATGTCATTTCCTGTGTGTGGTCGCACTTGGAACTCAAATGCGTTCGAGCTGAGCAACGGCCATTGTGAGCATTCCCTGGTACCTGGTGACCCCATGGCAAGAAATGATGGTATTCAGTCCCTGTTGCATCTTGTTTGAAGTCAGGCCGGGTCTTTGGTAGCTGTGCTGTGCGGTGCCTTCGTTTCACTCCCTGGAGTCTGCCATCCTGGTAGAGGGAACAGAGGCCTGTGCCATGAGCCTCCCTTGCATCACCAGTGTCATCCCATCCGCAACGGTGCCCGTCTCTACCTGCCTCTTGAGAAGCAGAGCTGGGCTGACTCACAAAAGCACAGAGAAGTCCGTGTGATTGTTTTTTTGTGGCTAAGCCACAGATTGTGGTAAGAAGCTATGTAGACCAGGACTCATCTCTCATCACTAGAAAGAAGGAAGATTCTTGATGGGTGATCTGTGACACGGTAGAAAGAACCAAAATGAAGCTAAGCCAAGAACCCATTTATTTTAAGGCATTTTCAGGTTAGCTGATGTACTGTTCATAGGAAAGGCAGGTTGGAAGGGACTTTGCAAGGTTATCTAGTCCAGTCCCCTGCTCAAGGCAAGGTTGTCCCTACCTAAACTATCCCAGCCACGTGTCTGTCCAACCCGCTTGGACATCTCCAAGGATGGAGACCCCACCACTTGTCTAGGCAGCCTGGTCCAAGGCTTGGCCACAGTCTTAGGTTGGAGGTTAGGAGGACCAAATTTCCCCTGCTGCAGCTTGAGGCTGTTGCTCCTAGTCCTGTCCCCCATGGCCACGGAGAAAAGCCCATCTCCATCCTCGCCATCATGGTCCTTCAGGGATTGGAAGCCTGCTACCAAATCCCAATCACCCCAATTCTTTCAGCCTTTCCTCATCCTGCTTTCCAGGCCCCTCCTCATTTGTGTCGCTCTGTGTTGAACTCTTCCCAATCTGTCCACTTCGTCTTTGACGTGCAGGGCCCAAAGCTGGACCCAGGACTCCAGGTGAGGCCTGACCCATGCTCTATTAGAGTGGAAGAATCACTTCCCTGGATGTGAAGTGACCCTTCTCTAAACCCAATCCAGTATACTGTTGAGAAATTAGAAAGGGTTTCATTGTATTAAACTGATGTAGTGCTGGGATTTCTAGAAAAGACGGGACAGTAGGGCGAAAAGGACCTCAGGAGGTCACAACTTGTCCAACCCTCTTCTCCAGCAAGATCAACCTAGGCTCAACCAGCCCTGCCGAAGTGTCCATCTGACCTACTCCAACAACGGAGATCCCTCCCCCTCTCTGGGCGGCCTGTCCCAGCCCAGAGTCTGCTTCAGCGGGAGAAAGTTCTTCCTCATCTCCAACCTCAATTTCCCCTGCCACAACTTGAGCCCGTTGCTCCCCAATCCTGCCCCCGACCCCCAGTCTTAAATTAAATAATCCCTGTTCTTTAAGCCTACCATCATGAGTCATGTTTCCTAGTCTCCTAATCATTTTTCTGCCACTTTGTTCTGGACTAATATGTCCACGTTTCTCCTTGAAGGATGGGGCTGCCCAAGCTGGGCCCGGTGCTCCAAGTGAGACTTCACCAGTGCTACCAGAGCAGAAGGATTGATTTGCAAGTGGCACACGTCCTTCAGGCACCGCCACTTAAAAGCGACTCGAAGCAAGCTCCAATGACTCGGCTTGAGCCTGAAACCAGCCCCTTCTTTAACAGTCCTCTTTGCCCCTAATTCTCAGTCAGTCCAGCTTCCAGGAGTCTCGGGGAACACACATCATTCGAAAGGATTTATTGGGCATATTTGTTTACAAAACAGAGGTGCTTCATATATATATTTATATTTTTATATATATATAAAAAAAATACCAATGCAAAACACCTTTTCACAAGGACCACGTAACAAACATCGCAATACTGTCACGAACGCGGGGGTGTAGGCATATAAATATAATCCGGAAGAACATTTACATGGGAAGTACAAGGAGCAAGTCAGTGGATTCT